TATACGACTTGCTGAGCAGTTTGCGACTATGCAAGGATGGCAAGCAGGAGAAGACGTTTCCTTCGATGCATACGTCAAGGAGAAGCGACTGAAGGAACGCTACGAGGCTTTTGATCAGCGGGTGGAGCGAGGATATGCGGCCGCAGCGAAGTTGCATAGGGCTGAGATACAGAATGCAGTGAAAAGGCGGTTAAAATCCACCGGAACGAAGTTTACTGCCGCAACACTGCGGGAAATGAAAGTCGCTCTGGAGGAGCGTATGGCCTGGCTACGTGACGTGTGGACGCAGATTGATGCAGACTACCGCAGTGGCGACACAGCCCGACAGGAGACCGCCGCGCGGGAGATTTTGGGGGGGGGGGGGAAAAAAAAAAAGGAAACACAAAGAAGAAAAGCCAGAATACATGACATCCCCCACAACCAACAAAAGACGACAATGACACTTCTCGCATCCCTTATCCACCACCGCGTCACGGACACGCAAAAGACGCACAAGGATGCATGCAGGGACAAAATGAAAAAACAACCACAACAACAACAACACATCCGCCCCTTCTATCCCATATCTCTCTATGAATAAAACGACGCCTGCAATAAACGACACCCCCTTTTCAAACCGAAAGGTCAAAAATGATTGGTGAAACGAGTTGAAGAAACCCCCCTCTTTTCCTCACCCTTTTCATCGAAATCAAAAAATAAAATAAAATAAAATAAGCATACACACAATAAAAGAAAAAAACAAAAAACAAACGGAAACAAACACGCCTAAATTGCTATCTCAAGTCCAAATCGCGTGCCGGACCTGCGCAAGTGATGTACGCCTAGCGTCAGCTGGAGACCCTCAAAAATTTTTGTGGCAATACCGATGCCAATACAACCAACTTTATTAATCCCAACTTTAAACTGTGTCTGATTGGCAAAGGCAGGCGTTGCGTCCAACATCATCGCGGCCTCATAGTCCATTTCGCCATCGTGCATCATCGAGGAGGCACTCAGACGGAAAAGACCGTTTCCAAACGACTTACTTACCCCAATCAATGTACCCAAATCCCGCCAGCTTACATCGCCTGAAAAGAGTGTACTTCGACTCCTTGCTATTTCATTTGCAGAATGCGACAGCCGGTTGCTTGAAATGAGGGTCTGCACCACAAGGAAATGAAAGGTGTCCTCATAACGCTCGTGCGGTTTACTGTGAAAACAAAGCGATGCTAAAGTATCGCCCTCCGCACTGCCCATTGGGTGCTGCAGGGCAACAGAAAGATGCAACGACGATGGGAGCGCCGTGGCAAGGAAATCAGGAAACATAGGCCCCACTGGCACACACCACGAGCCATCAATAAAAAGGGG